GCAGGAATGACATAAAGTTATTGAGAAATCGTTGGAACACCATGCAGATGCTTGCCTCAGACTTGCCCCAGCTGTACCAGCCCTATGGATAGATTCAGGGCTTCAGTCTCCAAATGTGTTGATCTAGCCCTGCACTGAGCTCCTAAAGCAAAGCCAAACTTTGCTAATGTACTCACTACATCAGTTAAAAAAATGAGAGATAAAAAAGCTTTACAACAGCTGTATAGTTAAAACTATCCATGGATGCAGTAGAGAATTAAAAAGTTCTTATAAACCCACAGCTCTTAATGAGACCTGGACTTGATCAGTGCAATCCTACTTGAAAACTGACTCCAGAGAAATAATACTAGTAATAGACATGTGGTTTGAAAATGCATGCTTTTGACATTAAAAGATACAATGAGTGGCTAATTCAGCAGGGATGTTTGTGCTTCTAGACTTACTCATGCAAATTACCATCAGCATTTGTTTCCTTCTACGCAGAACGATATGGGAGGCCAGAGAATGCTTGTGAATAAATGGAGCACTTTCCTCAAAACCAGGCTAGTTTGCTCTGTGCCCGGGAGAAATGGAATTGATACGCATTTTGATGAATTAGGTAAATATCCTAGACTGCAACAAACTTAAAACCATCATATAAAACATATACTTTCATGATAACACTTCTTACTGTCAAGTATTATAATTGCTTTCATTGATAGGGAACAGTTGCTAGTGTTTTGTTTCCAATGTATACGAAGTTCTAAACACATGGAGTTGACTATCATCAATTACACCTTATTGCATTGTTTTCAAAGATTGCTTTTAAAATCTGCATAAAATTAAATTGCATATATGAGTAAAATAGGATAATACTTTTAACAAGCAATGAAGTTTCTCTTTTGGGGCTGAGAAAAGTAGTTTGCTACCAATAACATTGCATTTAAATTTTACAGAGGATGTGTTTTTGCTGCAAACTCGTGATAACAAAAATCCAGTGATATTTGGCCTCTTCAACACTACAAGGTAAACAACTAGAAGAAATAATAGCAGCAACAGAGGAATGTTTGAACAGCCTATTGAAGAGATAGAAGCTGCATGATAAATATCCCTTAGCAAATATATAGTAAACACTTTAATCCCTGTTCTATTCACAGTGGACTTCCTTGTTAGTGTAAAAACTGCTCTATGACACTCGGGGGCTTGAAATCTCATACAGTCATTCAGTCTATCTGGATCATAAATTAATTAAATGTTTCTCTGCTTGAAAATTTCCTAGTGTCAAAGTATATCCACTCCCGCATGCTTATAAGAGCAGCCTATCAGAACCGCCTGTCTTCCTTTAAGAGCTCCACTGTAATTCGAGTTTAAATAGAAAGCAGCTCCTACTAATCTCTTAGTGAAGCCTAAAACACCAGCTGTGATGTTGCTGGTGGCCTCCTTTTCCACAGCAGCCTAGTTCAAATGTGAGCACGTAGTACCTGTTTCTCGGAGATCCAACTGTTAGTATAGGATGTAACTGGTAGAGAAGAGCAGCTGTGCTTTTGCCACTATTTCACACTCCTGATGTATTATTTTTTCTTTGAATTATTTTTTAATAAAGCAAGGTAGATCTGGTCCTCTAGGAATTCAGGCATCTAGCATTCCTTATTGGCTCCCAATGCCAGTAGAGAAAGGTAGACACCAAATTAAAATGGTCTGAATCACCTTCTGGAGTCTTCAGAGATAATGTCTTTGTAGAGATCCTGATGCTTCTTTAAAAAATAATTAGTTGTTTCTCTGGTGAATAAAATTTAAAAGTAAAAAAGATAATTTTATGTGGAATGATCTACACAGAGTGATCTTGATGATGTAACTAAAAACACCAACCAACATTCCCACTCAATATGGAAAGACTCCTGTTCATTTCAGTCAGCATAGGATGGTTCTCATTTTTCCAAAATAACAACAACAGGAAAAATCTTAGAGAAGAAAAATGGTTAACTGTTTAAGTCACTAATTAAAGACATATAAGACCTGAGTTCCATTTGCTGTGCTTCCTCTGTGTTCACAAACAAGTAACTTAAAGCCTGTGTTCACATCTTCAAATTTTGGGATAACAACACAAAGCTGCTTCAGAGAAATGTTATAAATATAAATACATTAAAGACTTTGTAAAGAAAACTGGACACAGCAGTTATAAAAGAAACATATAGGAAACACTGAGTAGTTTTTTCTCCCTGAAGATTGTTGAAATGTGACTTTTTTTTAATCGCACAATAATACCAGTATTATACGTACAGGATGTGACATATTGCTTTAATAACATCTTTGAATTTTACTTCATAGCAATATATTTAGAGGATATGCCATATGTGTTTACCACATGGCAAGTGTCCGAGCAGCTTTCAATGGCCCATATGCTCATAAAGAAGGACCTGAATACCACTGGGCTCTATACGAAGGAAAAGTACCTTATCCGAGGCCTGGTTCAGTAAGTACAATCTATTTTCCATTGCTTTGTTATGCAAATGAATTTGGAAAGAAAAAGCAGACTGCTGCTAATGTACAAATCTTCCAGATTTCACAGTCCAAAATATATTTATTTGAATATATACATACTCTAGCATTTCTGGAAAAGCATGACATGGGTCAGCAATAAATTTAATCAAGTCCTAGAACCATACATTTCCCAAAGGAAAAGAGTGGAATTAAGTATATAAGGTTTTTAAAAATCCTGTTGGGACTTCAATTTATCAACCTTGTGTTAAGGTCCCAAAGTTAGGACCTCGAGCAAGAGGGGTAGAAAGAGGCACCTGTAGAAGGTGGGTTCAGAAGCAGTAAAGGCATTCCCTGGGAAGGAACTTCTATTGAGCATAGTATAACTGTTCTAAATTTGGCTGCTGACATATTTTTTGAATCTGAACCTTGATAATTTTAATCTAATTACCAAAGAAATAAATGAAAAATCAAATTTATTTAAGTGCATTGAGTGAACCATAGGGTTTTTTTCTAACGGAACTTTTTGGAGAACAAATTGTCCCTACTGTCTTGACCTGAGAAAATAAAACCAAGATGAAGTAGAAACACGTACCTATATTTACATTAAAAATATATATAGTTAAGGTACAGGCAATATTTTCCAATGTAAATAAGATCATTACTGGAAACAACAAGCTTACACAAGGCAATTCACTTTCATTCTATTACCTGGTGAAACAAGGGCATTTAACATGTTTCAACGGAAGAAAAAAAAGATGATCCACTATTTCAAGATCAGGGAGTTCTGGTTCTCTTTTTTCATTTCTTTCTCAAAAAGGATCAAATTTCAATATTTCTATAATGTGGATTAGTGCACAGGTTAGAAATGAGACACAGATTTTAACAAAAGAAACTAATCGGAAGAAATACACTTGTAGATAGGGAGTAAATCCCCCATCACCTGATGTCCTTCTCCCAAGACTGGTTCTTTCTAGAAGCAATGGTCTAGCATCCTCACAATTAATTGGTGTGCTTTCAGACATCAAAGAGTGAGATTTTATTACCCTCAAATCAAGTTCCTGACCTTACTAACATTCTTGTTCTGTACCCTTTCTAAAGAATATAGAAATATTAAAACAATGTTGCAAAGAACCAAACTCAGCAAGATTGCTCATGCTTTTTGTTAATTTTCACACAAGTTTCTCTACAAACTACTTTTTTTTTTTTTCCCAATGAACATTAAGTGAAAAAAATAAACAAAACCTATTTTTAAAATGCAATTAATCTGGCAACTATTGTAGCATACTCAGCAACTATACAGGTGCTGCCATGTAGAGAGCTGTTCCTGCCTGGCACTTAGATTTTTCATTTGGCAAATAGAAATTCTGGAGCAAATCACAAACTCATTACTTAGAGACAGGTAATTAATTTCTCACAGAAGGAGCACATCCAGGGTTGCCCTCACCTTCCTCTTCCTGCTGCAAGTCAGGAGGAGCCCCGTAGCAGGCAATGCCAGGCTAACCCAGCGAAGCATCACATCCAGGATTTCTTCTTCACCAGGTAGTTTTTGAGAATACGACGACTTTCCCACCCATGGCAACTGTCATCTGTTGCAAAGCTGCTTTTGTTTACTCACTGAAGGTCTACCCCTTATCATGTCAGCATTGTGCAGATTTTTTGACTCTGTGAGATGCAAAGACATTTCTAATAGCTGTTTGGTTAAACCCCCCCGCCCCCGGGGTTTTCACACTTCACCTCTCAAGCTAGGGCGTTGCTCTCTTGAGCTTAACGATGGAATAAACACTCGCTGTAACATTACTTTCAGTGTTGTTTTTTCCTTTGCTAACTGAATCAATATTCTCTTCTATTCTAAAAGAAATCATTTGCAGACATAAACATTGCATACTATTCATTTATCACTGAATCGCAGGAATGAGAGGTGAAAAGACCTATTAGCTTATCTAGTCCATGCCAGTACAACCTTTCTCCCTGTAGTATGATTTCAAATGCGTGTTCTCTCTCATTTTAAATTAATGTTTTCCTCTGCTTCTCATGGGGTTAGAGACATAAGTCAAAATACAGAAGTGAATGCTCCAAAAAAGAGATTAACTGGGATTTAAACATGAATATGATTTGACCATCTTGGCCAATAGGCTATCATTGTAGCAGTGCTAACATCAAAACCAAATGGGTATTTGTTTGTTTGATGTAGATCAGTCATTGGTATTGAATCAGGATAGAAAATCAGATAAGTAAATTATCACATTTTGAGTGAAATGGTTGAATGCAAAGGAATTATTGGTTTCCTATTTGAAATTGTGCATAACAAATGTACAGTTTTTGCAGTTCTAACAAATAATGAGACAGTACCATGCATGGATTGCAGAATGGCTGTATATTTTACAAAGATTATATGGTCCAAGTTTTTTAAGTGGCATTCATTTATTTTTTTTTTCCAGAACACCTCATATACATTATTTGGACTAACGTTAAACACAGACAGGAATTCTATATTAATGACTACAGTCATTACATTGATCACATAGTACTGAAAATTAAATGGTGTTTGTTTTGGTAAGAAGGAGAGAACATTGAGCCAGCACTTCAGCAAAGCTGACGATGGTTTACAGAAAGGTTGCCCTAAGTTCCACTCGCTTTCAATGCTTCTCTCCCTCGGCTCTGAATGGCCACGTTTGGGTCAGACTGGATTGTAGCCTCCCCAACAGGCAAGGCATGGGGGCTGAAACAGATATAAGAGCACAAGTAATTTTCCCAATGTGATGGAACACATTAGTTGAGGAACCAGGTCTTTCCTGGGTGTTAATCGATTTAATCATGTTTGTCTCTGTATATTGCAGAGCACATCAGAGGCTGAAGTAGTTGGCTCTGCCAGCTAAGAGAGGATTAATTGATTCATTTTTGGCTGCTCATTTAGGACACAGTTGAGAGGTCGTTTCAACGCTTTTCCAGCAGCATGAAGAGAAAATATGTTTCGAGCTGTAGCCCACAGTGTTAGGTTTCACACTCCAAAGAAAAGGTCAGCATATTGGCAAGCTGAGTCCCACTACCTTTCCCACTACAGGAGTGACAGTGACAAGAGGCCAAAAATAACCTATTAGGCATCTCTGAGAGTCAGCACACTTTGATCTTAGATATCGAATGGGTAAAGATGGAGTCTATAGGAATGAGAGTAGAGCTTAAAGCTAAATAAACAGAAAACCAGTGTTAAGAGTCGCACAGGTTCTGACAGACTCTGCAGTCTGCTGCTCTCTGAAGTCTGCTTGAAGGACTGCTTCTGCCATACTCTCTGCTCCTGCTTTGCTGATTCTTCCAGTGCATTTAGACTGTGATGCTTCTGGGAACGACATCAGTTACCTCAAAAATGGTGTTGATAGACTTCAGAGACAGCTGGCTGTACTGTTTCCTTTCTAGACTACTTCATTTAATTAAAAATGAAAAGCCTGTGAAGGATTATTTTTATTAAATCTCTCCAGGGCTAGAACTTTGCAAAGGGAACCTGGGAATGCCTATTCACTTGATATGCTGTGCAGCGCATGGAAAGCAGAGGCTTAGCCTGTCTTCATGCTCCAGCTCTGTATCTTTATTGCAAACAGCCAGTGAAATTCCATCACTAGGTTGATTAGACAATTACTTTAAAGTCAACACTGAACAAATACTTTCCTGTAGCTAAGCTCAAAAAGTGAAAACAAACATTGCCCCACTTGACAAGTGCAGGAGTTTGTTATTGTCATTACCATTGACCACAAGTTTAAAATTACCAATTCCAGTAAATATAGACTATTTTATTTCATTTTATTGATTGAAAAATCCAATTTAAATAGGGAAAGGCTGCTACTGTGGGTTTGCTTGAAATGCTTCTTAAAACCACACTGTCTTCCAAATATGTGGAGAAAGTAAACAGTTACCGAGATATTTCCAGCTTGATCATAAGTGGTTTCAATTAGACATCATGAAGCAAATTGGAAATGTACAATCTACATTCAGTTAGAGAACACTGTATCCTTCACAAAGCATCCTAAAATTAACTTCTCTTTTTAATGCTTTAAATTATCCCTAATTGCACATTTGACCAAAGGAGTAAGCCTCTTTTAATCAGTCATTGACATAAAGTCTATTTGCTTTGCAAAACAGTAGATTGATCGATGCAAACATTGGTATTTCAAGCTAAACTGTGATATATAATACTGTCATAGTGAGTTAGGAATTAGAATCAAATGTAATACTGTTAGAATGCCTGAGACCAAGAATTACTGTTGCTGCTGGCATCATTTTAAAGTGTGTTTCGTTTCTTATGGTAATGCATTTTGTAATCAAAAGTAATTAGACTAGAGATTGATTTCAAGCATTAACATTCTGCTGACTTTACATGGCCATCTCTCTACTGGGGTAGGAAGCCCCTTTCTCCTAACTCTGTCAATGGCCCTTTTTTTGGTTACATCTTCAATATGAATTTGGGGAAGACGTGAGCATTATGGGTTTTTGTCACAATCTAAAAGTGTCACTATTTATTCTGCTGTTAATACGCCGGACAGGAAGGACCTCCCTATTTCTACACATGACAACACCAAGGCTCTGTTCAGCATTCCTTTTCTTGGTTTCTCATGATAAATAATCCACACATGCATAAAGCATAGAGTTCACTGTCCCAATTCCTACTATGGTCTTCTGTGTCTGTTTTTATGCCAGGTTTTCTATAAACTTGTCATTACCCATGAAAACAAGATCTGTCTCTGACAATTCATTTGGCAAGCCTTCAGGACAATCTATGTTTTATGTTTTTGCAGTGTGCCAGCAAGGTGAATGGTGGTCTGTACACTACCACCAAAGACTATCCTGATGAAGCTGTCCATTTTGCCAGGAGTCATCCACTGATGTATCAGCCAATCAAGCCTGTTCACAAGAGACCAATACTAGTTAAAACAGATGGAAAGTACAATCTTAAACAAATAGCAGTGGACAGAGTGGAAGCTGAAGATGGGCAATATGATGTCTTGTTCATTGGCACAGGTAAATTAAAGAGAGCAAAGAAGACAATTGATTTAATAGGTTTGTTGGGTTTTGTTTTTTTTTTACCTCCAGGATGAGTGAAATTAAGTTGTATATAGTCCAAAAATAAAAAGTTAATACAACATTCCTTTTTAACAATCATTCTTTGGATGACTGTGCCAGTCTTCAACTTATTGAGGTTAGTCATTCTAGACATGTGCTTCACTGTGCTGATAGCATTATTAAAAAAAAAAAAAAAAAAAAAAAAAA